GTTGTCACACGCAAACAGACACACAGAGAGAGAGAGAGAGAGAGAGAGAGAGAGAGAGAGAGAGAGAGAGAGAGAGAGAGAGATTACTATTGTGAAAAGAAAAAAAAAACACTCCGGAGGTGGATTTATTTATTCCAAAAAGAATTCACCCGAGACGTGAATTTAATTGAATAATTCGCTGGAGACGTGAGTTTATTTGCTGTGAAATTAATTCACTTGAGAGGTGAATTTATTAACTGGGAACCGTGCGGGTGGGTAAGGTTCACCCGTAGTGAAAAAAGACAGCTCCTTGATCAAAAAAAAAAAAAAAAAAAAACTTGGTAGGAAGGTCCCCGATTTTATTTTTTTTTTAGGTCCTGCTTTGGTTCATAAGGGCCATCTTGGGGAAATCAACCCCCGCCCGCCCGCCAAAAAAAAGAAATAAACCGTCCACCAAAAAAAATAAAAATAAAATCCTGTGTGAATATTAATTATCGTTGGTGGTAAGACTGTACATTATATAGAAAAAATCACCACCAACCAAGCCTGTGTGAATATTAATAAATTATAACTATATATAGTCAAAGAGAACTGGCCAATACCTTTCCCGGCCTTTTGGCTAAATTCACGCCGAAGTTTTTTTTTTTTTTTTTAATAATTGTTTAATTATTTATTCATTTCGGCCGATGGGCGGTGGATCAGATACTAAACTGATAAGAACAGATACTACACCTGTTCTTGGGCATCACCACACCACTCTCGAAATGTGCAAAATGAGAATGAACATCCCGCTAGAACATGGCCAGATGCACTCGTGACATTTTTGTCTTTTTCACATTTCGAAAGTGATGTGGCGAGTCCCCTTATCAGTTTAATATCTGATCCGTGGTCCATCGGCCCACATTCAAAAAAAAAAAAAAAAAAAAAAACCTGCCCAGTGATTGGTAGGGCCGCGTAGGCATAGAGGTAGAAGAGGACAACAAACGAGGGGCTGTGACGGACTGTTCCCTGGAAGTTTCATGGAGTCATCAGTAAGCTGAATATCTATACACTCATACGTTTATTTACATATATCGTCACAAATAGAATATATATACATATATATATCGTCACAAACAGAACTGCCCGGTAAACCGTAGGCAGAGAGAGAGAAGAGGACAACAAACGAGGGGCTGTGACAAACTGTTTCGTCGGAATATATACACAGCCCCTCGTTTGTTGTCCTCTTCTCCCTCTCTGCCTACGGTTTACCGGGCAGTTCTATTTGACGATATATATACATATATAGATATCTATATATATCGTCAAACAGAGCTGCTCGTCTCGGGATGGCACATGACACGTGTCGTTCTATTTTTAGATCAGGCGCAGGTGCATATACACTATATCACCGTCCACCAATTGCTATAGCGAATGATATCGTGTATAAGAATTCGGAGTATAGAGGAAAAAATTGTGGATAAGAGTGTGGACAAGATCCTGGATAAGATCGTGCATAAGATTGTGTACAAGATCCTGGATAAGATCGTGCATAAGATTGTGGACACGATTCTGGCCACAATTGTGGACCAGGTTAGCTGTGGATAATGTTGTGGATAAGGTTGTGGATAAGGTTGTGGATGAATGCCGAACAGTGGTTGAGTGCTGATGCTGATGCTCCCGCCGACGTATATCTCGTGCGCAAGATCATGGACACAATCCTGGATAAAGTTATGGATAAGGTTGTCGTGGATAAGGTTGTCGCGGATAAGGTTGTTGTGGATAAGGTGGTTGTGGATGAATGCGGAGCAGTGGAGGAGTGATGATGATCCTGCGACGTAGATCTGGTGCACATGGTGATGGCCCCTTCCCATGCAACGGACATCCTGGATCTTAACCACAATGGCCTCCAGCTATCAACGACATCTTTCCCCCGAATGGAACGCAGTGTTATTACAAGTGTATTTGGGGCAACTCTCCGTCTAGGTACAGCGATAATGACCGTGCGTTATATTCGGGTGAAGATGGTACCCCTTCCGCGCAGCTGATGTCCTTCCCCTTTCCATCAGCTCTCTCTGTCTATCTGGCATCCCGACTTCAGGGCTATAATTAGCAACTAGGTGTTTTGGTGTCTCTCTCCCTGCAATCCTCCGTACCTGACCGCGAAATGGCTGAGCGGTGCAGACGTCTGACTCTTAATACACGGCTCCAAAGCCGATGCGACGATCCATGACTCGTGGCTGAATGAATGATACACACTGGTCTGACCCTGGATGAACAGATCAAGAGTTCGAGTCCTGCCACAATAGCTCTCTCTCTCTCTCTCTCTCTCTCTCTCTCTCTCTCTCTCT